AAACTGATCAATACACAGATTGCAAAGTTAGTGACTTTCTTCTCTCCTTGGAGAGCAAAGTCAGGCACCAAAACGCTGGGGCTGGCTTCGACTTCTGCTGAAGCTAACAAAGCTACAACCTGGTGTGATGGCTTTATTATACCGGCTGCACAGTTAACCACAAAAGCGATTTGCCCGGCTGCTGCTCCAACCGCAGGAGAGCCCGCTCTCTTTCAGGCCTTTTCCCAGGAAGGCGTTGGGTTTATGGTGAAAGCAGCCCCTAACCCCTTTGGCTAGCGATTTTGTTTTAATGTCACCTAAGCACGGAGGACAATGCTGCCGAGAGATTTCCGGAGATGCCTCCCTCTAAAGGAGACGTTACTAAAAATACTCCCCGGGATGCGGGGCTGAAATCGGGCTGTCCATGCAAGAGGCAGACGGTGGGTCGCATGCAGCACATGCAAACGCAGGGCTCTCCCCCGGTGCTGCAGCAGCCTTGCGCTTGAACTTGGGCTGTGCGGTTTGCAGGACTGCCGGCGGAGCGCCCTTACCGCATTCCTCCGGAGCCTCGGCATGCCTCCGGCGGGGTCCGCCTCGGCCATCGCCTTTCTTCCCCGCCTGGCAGGAGCCGCTTCTCAGGAGGGGCTGGAAAATCCCAGTCGCCAGCCGGCTTCCCGCAACGCGGCTCCCATCGCAGCCCTGCAAGCAGCCTCCGGCCCCAGCGCCCCGCACTGATTCCCTAGGGGCCCCCGCGCCTCATCCCCGTTCAACCCAGGGGGGATCAGCCGGTGCAGGCTGCTGGAGCGGACCAGGCATGCACCAGGCGTGCGGGGCCGGCGATTGACTCGTGCCTGCTCCCTCCGAGAAGGGCTCCCTTTTTCTTTTTAAGGTGGAATGCCAACAATCTTCCTCGAGTGAGGGGTAGTTCATTTAGTTGGGCGCTCTGTTGGGAACCCTTAAGAAAGCAAAACTCCATCCCTGTACCTGGGGAAATACCGTATGTCTTGAATTAGTGGGGCCTGCAATATGTATTTTTAAAGGATATGCCCAATTATGCAACAGAAAAAGCTAGAGAAGCCAAGCCTGTCCAATCCTGAAGCCTGGGACGTACAGGGAGGGCCTGACTTTCTAAACGGGATGGTACAAATATGCACACACATTGCACATGCATACTGTCACCAGGCGGATACTTACATCTGCAAATGGGGGGGGGGGGGGGGAGAAGAGGTGATATCTTTTATTGGACCAACTTGTGTTACTGAGACACAAGCTTTGGAGCTTACACAGAATTCTTCTTTAGGTCACAGAGCTCTGCCTAATAGGCTGGGAAGCTTGTCTCTCTCACCCACAGAAATTGGTCCAAGAAAAGATATTGCCTCACCCACCTTGTCTCTCTAATACCTTGGGACCAACATGGCTCCAACAGCGCTGCATACCCCATGTCTGCAGTTAGGCACATACCTGAAGAAAAACTCGACGTAAACTCGAAAGCTTGCCTCCCGCGCCAACAGAAGTTAGCCCAATAAAAGATATTATGTCACCCGCCTCGTCTCTCTATACCTGGTCAGATCTGCCATTGCAGCCAGATTTTTGCACATGCGCACTTCAGAAAAATCAGGCCCTGTGCATTTTGAATTCAACTTATGTGGTAGTTATTTTACTCCATCATATCAGAGAACAGAAAATGTCTGACTCCAAACTTTGGTCAAGTCTAATATTATGACTGATCATTGGAAAAGTAATCAAGTCTCTATTCTTCCTTGTCTTGCCTCTTCTTCCCCCGCCCCCACCCCACCCACAAAGCAAAGGGTAATAAGGTATTACATGGGAACATAGACCATAAGGCTGGAATGGACCTCCAGGGTCATTGAGATCAGTCCCCTGCTATCACAAGCAACCCCGTCACATAATCACATTCATAAACTTATCAATCTCCATCTTAAAACTAGTTAGTTCCCTGGCCCAGTTACATGGCATCTTAAGGTCTGATCCTACTACTGTCTTTTCACAGGCAGAACTCAAGTCTTACAACTTTGTGTACACAGATTTTTCTGTCTTTCATTCTTAGTTGCATTGGGTGTCTCTGGATTGTTTGCACACAGCACTGCCTTAAGTGCTCAGATACACAGTGAGAGAGTCACCTCTGTCTGTGGATGCAGAAGGAAATGCACAGCACATATCTTATGAGATCACATGCTCATGTATCATTTAAAATGAAATGTAAAGGGCAGGCACTTTTGTGAAAGCTACATCAGGACAGGCCAGCAGAGCTCTCATTCTAAAAAAATGGTTTCAAGCTATTTGAATGGAAAATGCCATTCAAGGGCCAGAAAAAGCTCCCATTGGGATCAATGCAAGCATTGCCCGTGTAAAGGCAATAGGACCAGGCTCTGATAGTCATGACTTATTTTAACTATCAAAAAATACCATTACTGCCACTAGACGCCTATCAGCAAAAATGTCCCTAATGCCATGTTCAGCAATAGTTAATGGTCGAACATTTGTTAATACTTAAGATCTGACCTGACCGGGCATCAGCTAGCCCAACGAGATTTCGGTACAAAGTGGTCTAAGTTATACACTCCTCTCGATAAACTCTCTTTGCCTCATTCTCTATCAGCTGAGTTTGCATATCCAACTCAGCATCTGAAGTGTCTCTTTGCGGGCAGGTGTACACCACCACCTAAGTCGATATAACTTATGTCACTCAGGGGTGTGAAAAAGCCCCCCCCCGTCGCTCAGGGGTGTGAAAAGCCCCCCATCCAGAAATGCAAGTTTTGCGCTGTCCACATCAGCACTATGTTGGCCAGAGACACACTTCCGCTGATTGAGCTTCTGCTTCTCACCAAGGCAGAGTAATTACGCCGACAGGAGAGCGCTCTCCCGTGGACATGGTGCATCCTCACCAGAAGGGTGCAGCTACACGGATGTAGTGAAATGGTGTAGACTTGCCCTGTATTACGGGAGGAAGTGACGGTGATGATTGTGACCTTTTCAGAACATTTCTTTTCACCTTCCACTGTAGCAAGGTCAGTTTAGATCTGGCCTTTCACTGCCTGCTTTTTAGTACAGCCTCCATTCATTATAAAAGTGATTTTTTATATACACCAGTGTTGCACTTTTAGACTACATTTTAATTTTTGCAAAAGACCATGTACTGTTGACTAGCGGGGGGAGGGGAGGGAAGTGTTACTTGTGAGATTTGTTCCGCATCTGATGGTACATCTGCTCTAGTTAATTAAGAGAGACACATTTTATATACATATATCTGTACCCACATGCTTTATATGGCAGCATTGGACTATGTTTCTCCAGAGGAGAAGGGGAGAAGCAGCAGGAAGGAGGCATGGGTCTTAGCTGGATATAACATCTCCCCACACTCACAGAGAGCAGGGCAGGGCAAGTCAGCTAGAAGAACCAAAAAACATTCAGAACAGAGTGTGGCAGTTACTAGGCATGCTCAGTAGTTGTTTCTGAGGCTGATCCATGCAGGACTAAGAGCTGTGTCTGCTCTGAAGTCTGGGTCCCAATCCCTGTACCATTTTGGATACAGTCTACAGTTAACCCTATTACATATATGGGCACGCACATATCATAGAATCATAGAATATCAGGGTTGGAAGGGACCTCAGGAGGTCATCTAGTCCAACCCCCTGCTCAAAGCAGGACCAATTCCCAACTAAATCATCCCAGCCAGGGCTTTGTCAAGCCTGACCTTAAAAAGCTCTAAGGAAGGAGATTCCAACACCTCCCTAGGTAACCAGTTCCAGTGCTTCACCACCCTCCTAGTGAAAAGGTTTTTCCTAATATCCAACCTAAACCTCCCCCACTGCAACTCGAGACCATTACTCCTTGTTCTGTCATCTGCTACCACTGAGAACAGTCTAGATCCATCCTCTTTGGAACTCCCTTTCAGGTAGTTGAAAGCAGCTATCAAATCCCCCCTCATTCTTCTCTTCTGCAGACTAAACAATCCCAGTTCCCTTAGCCTCTCCTCATAAGTCATGTGCTCCAGCCCCCTAATCATTCTTGTTGCCCTCCGCTGGACTCTTTCCAATTTTTCCACATTCTTCTTGTAGTGTGGGGCCCAGAACTGGACACAGTACTCCAGATGAGGCCTCACCAATGCCGAATAGAGGGGAACGATCACGTCCTTCGATCTGCTGGCAATGCTCCTACTTATACAGCCCAAAATGCCGTTAGCCTTCTTGGCAACAAGGGCACACTGCTGACTCATATCCAGCTTCTCATCCACTGTAACCCTTAGGTCCTTTTCTGCAGAACTGCTTCCTAGCCATTCAGTCCCTAGTCTGTAACAGTGAATGGGATTCTTCTGTCCTAAGTGCAGGACTCTGCACTTGTCCTTGTTGAACCTCATCAGATTTCTTTTGGCCCAATCCTCTAATTTGTCTAGGTCCCTCTGTATCCTATCCCTACCCTCCAGCGTATCTACCACTCCTCCCAGTTTAGTGTCATCTGCAAACTTGCTGAGAGTGCAGTCCACGCCATCCTCCAGATCATTAATGAAGATATTGAACAAAACCGGCCCCAGGAACGACCACATGTAAACTTCAAAGTAGTTTTTCCCTGATTTTTTATATATAAAAATTATGGTGGGGGGACTATTTTGAAGGATATTTTGCAGTAAATAAAACTTTGCCCAATTAAGGGTAAAATAATCATCTGCTACTAAAAATCAGAACCTACACATAGAATATATGCTGAGATGGATTGTCTAAACATCAAATGCCCAGCGCAGGGCACAAAAATGTGTACACAGCTGTGTGACTAATTTGCATGAGCACAGGCAAATGATCAGTTGGATGTCCAAACAGCTAAAATATGCATACAAATTAGGTACATCACAATACCTGCATTTACTATGGTGAAAAGGGTCACAGAAATGCCTTGAAAGAGAGACTAGTTCAACAGGTCTGGGATACAGATGTTTTCAAAATCTGAAACAATGTACATGATGACTCAGTACCGTAACAAAACATTTAACAATAAGAAGGGCTTACTGCTATCCTTTGGAGAGTCATTTTGACAGACGTCCATGTATCCAATCTTCTATCCAGGATTAGGATAAATTTTGTGTCAGATTCATGTTGACTACCAAGACAAGAAAATACCAAGTAGCTAGGTAACATTTTGAGAGCAAGCCATTTCAGTCCCAGTAAAAAAAACAAACACACAAAGTTCTCATAAATACCCACAACACAATACCTCTGGCACCTTTCGTAAACATTAAAATTCCATTTGAAACTATTTTCTACAGTTGGTTCCAGAAATAAACTCAACAACCTATCTCACTATTATTTAACAGCAAGCTTGACATTCGAAACATGCAAAGTTGCTCCTGTTCAATGGGAATTTTATTTGCACTTGAGCAGGCTGTGTGTGCAGTTTGGAAAGTTCCTTACAAATCCACATTACTTTGGAGCTGGAATTTGCAAAGGAGCCTAAGAACTCCCTTAAATTCCTTAGAAAATCCCAACCCTAATAGATAACTGAGCAGTACTCTAGTTCTACACACTGGGGGATAACATGTGTTCAGATGAGTCCCTGTCTACGATACAAGTACAACCATATCAAGGAATCTGGTTACAACTCTTTAAGTGTACGTCTGTTTTGAAAAGTGGGTAGGCATACCTGGATTAGCGTTAATCTAGCTAGCATGGGTAACAATAGCAGCGTAGATATGGTGGCATGGACTTCAGCATGGGTTAGCAACCAGAGAACACACTTGGAGTCCCTAAAGCCACCATGTCTACACTGATATTGTTACCTGTGCTAGCTAGATTAACGCTAACATCGGTATGCCTGTGTATGTGCTACAATTACGTAGACATACATTAACAGTCCTGGTCTTGTTATAATACATGGTTAAAGCTACATCTACATTACAAGCTGCAATCATGTTTATAGTCAGGTTAAAGGGTAACCCATTTGTAACCAAGGCCCCTAATACGTGCGTGCTTGCAATACACAGGGTCTTAATGCAAACAACGTGTAAAAAAAGTCCCGATTTAGGGAAACAAAGGCATAAGAAGCTGTATACTCATTCCAAGAATAATTATTTATTACTACCACATGACAGTCAATATTTGGCAAGGTTATCGTTTTATATCCGTTCCTCTCTCCCCTTATTACTAGTGTATCCAGATAAGTCTTTCCTGTGAGCACATCTTCATGTAGTGCTATTAAGTGAGGGCAGCCTTCGTGTATGCAAAGAGCAGAGTCATATTAGTTACCTTTATACTCAAAAAAATTAACTGCAATTAAAAAAATTAATTGCAATTAATTGCACCATTAAACAATAGAATACCAACTGAAATGTATTAAATATTTTGGGATGTTTTTCTACATTTTCAAATATATTGATTTTTATTACTACACAGAATACAAAGTGCTCACTTTATATTATTTTTATTACAAATATTTGCACTGTAAAAATGATAAACAAAAGAAAAAGCATTTTTCAATTCACCTCAATACAAGTACTGTAGTGCAATCTCTATCATGAAAGTGTAACTTACAAATGTAGATTTTTTTTGTTACATAACTGCACTCAAAAACAAAACAATGTAAAACTTTAGAGCCTACAAGTCCACTCAGTCCTACTTCTTGTTCAGCCAATCGCTAAGACAAACAAGTTTGTTGACATTTACAGGAGATGGTGCTGCCTGCTTCTTGTTTACAATGTCACCTGAAAGTGAGAACAGGTGTTCACATGGCACTTTTGTAGCGGGCATTGCAAGATATTTACATGCCAGATATGTTAAACATTTGTATGCCCCTTCATGCTTCAGCCACCATTCCAGAGGACATGTTTCTATGCTGATGATGTTCGTTAAAAAACTAGTGCGTTAATTAAATTTGTGACTGAACTCCTTGGGGGGGAATTGTATGTTTACCCGAATTCTGCCATATATTTCATATTATAGCAGTCTCGGATGATGACCCAGCATGTTTGATTTACGAACATTGTCACTGCAGATTTGACAAAATGCAAAGAAGTTACCAATGTGAGATTTCTAAAAATAGCTACAGCACTCGACACAATTTAAGAATCTGAAGTGCCGTCCAAAATCTGAGAGGGATGAGGCACATGCTTTCAGAAGTCTTGAAAGAGCAGCACTCTGATGCGGAAACTACAGAACCCGAACCACCAAAAAAGAAAATCAACCTTCTGCTGGTGGCATCTGATTCAGATGATGAAAATGAACATGCATCGGTCTGCTCTGCTTTGGATCATTATTGAGCAGAACTTGCCATCAGCATGAAAGCATGTCCTCTGGAATGGTAGGGAAACCATGAAGGGACATATGAATCTTTAGCGCATCTGGCACGTAAATATCTTGTGACGCTGTTTACAACAGTGCCATGCGAACGCCTGTTCTCATTTTCAGGTGACATTGTAAACAAGAAGCAGGCAGCATTATCTCCTGCAAATGTAACCAAACTTGTTTGTCTGAGTGACCGGCTGAAGTAGGACTGAGTGGACTTATAGGCGCTAAAGTTTTACATTGCTTTATTTTTGAATGCAGTTATTTTTTGTACATAATTCGACATTTGTGAGTTCAACTTTCATGATCAAGAGATTGCACTACAGCACTTATATTAGGGGAATTGAAAATACTATTTCTTCTGTTTTTTTTCAGTGCAAATATTTGTAATAAAAAATAAATATAAAGTGAGCACTGTACACTTTGTATTCTGTGTTGTAACTGAAATCAATATATTTGAAAATGTAGAAAACATCCAAAAATATTTAAATAAATGGTATTCTATTATGGTTTAACAGTGCGATTAATCACGATTAATTTTTTTAATCGCTTGACAGCCCTAATCACAACGTTTTAGATTCCCTCGGGATACAAAGCATCCTATTACTAAAGTTAAAAATCAAAAGAGGCTCTCAGAACCGTAGGAAGAGAAGAGAAGCAGGTAGTGTGACTCACTGCAAATAAAGTGCCAACTTTATGTTTGAATCATCATCAGTCTTATAGCCCTCAACAGGGCTTCACATGGAATAGGTCAAAAATACATAATATTAAATGTAATTTTATAACATTGTATGTATTTGCAATAATAGTATAGAACAGCAGATGTTGCATTCGGTATAAAATTCTGTGGAAATCAACAAGGTTGAGTAGTGGTCTCATATAGTCACATGTCACACCCCCTACCGACCAGAGAAGCATTACTCCTACTTTCAACAGACCCAGAAAAAACATCTTGCTGTGACATGGTTTCCATGAATGCCAAGTTTCAACCATCGCCTGATATGAAGCTGCCTGGCAGTGTGTGAAGTGAAGACAGAAAAATCTGAGCAAAGTTTGAGAGAGAGAGGAGGAAGAAAAACAGGAAAAGGGAACAGGAGGTGAAAGGATATGAAGGAAAGGCAATGAGGAGAGAAGAGGAGTCAGGTGGGGAAGTAAAGCAGGAAGAAGCGGCAAGTAAGGGAAATAGCAGAAGAGAAATGACTAGAGATGGAAATGGAGCCTCCAATGAACTTGCAGCGGCTGGTTCACAACCAGAGACTGCAAGGTCTGTTTGCACATGCCCAACTCTACTAGAAAGGCTGTGCTGACACAAGCCCTCTCTTAGAGGAACTGGTGGCCAGCTGGCACCACACTGGGAGTGCCACCTAATATCCCGGGACCCACACAACTATAACAACACTGTATACAACCTAGCTGCACTGGGAGTTTTGCTCTATCAGCACAACTGTGATGAGGGTAGATGTAGAATGCAAGTCACTCAAGAATTAAATAGGGCACAAGAACCCAGCAACTCTTTGTCCTTGAGTTTGTGAGAAAACACATGGCACTTTTCCAGGACAGCGGTTGATGGCCACCTAGCAGTCTTCACCCTGCTCACTCTGTAGCAAGCAATTTGCCGAACTAGGTGAGAGAGAGTTAAAAAGAGATTAAGCATTCCAGGTAACTTCAATCCACCAGGCTCAGGAAGAAGAAATTGTTCAGATCCATTAATCCTAGCATAACTACCTTGTGGGACTGGTAGACTGTCAGCGAGTAAACGTTGCTATAGAAAAACAGTACTGGAAAACGTAGTACAGCACCAGGAGAGCAAGCATAATGATCTAGGAAGGTATTCAACCAAATGGCTCTCGTTCCTTTAGTTATTTTACTTCTCAAGGTCTCGCTCTCTTTTTCCAAATTAACATACTCTCCACTTGCACGTGCAAAATATATCCCAGATTATTTGCCGGTGGCATATCATTTTTGAGTGCTGACGCCCATCTAAGGTTAAGCCAAGTGATTCCTTTAATTATTATGGTCATCGGGTAGGTTTATGAAACCAGCAGCCAATAGGGACAAAAATTGACTTTTTAGTTAATTTATATTTATATTTATATTTATATTTGTAGTTATTGGTGTAAGAAATACCAATGTAACACTCTGGCTCAACATCATGAGGCTTTGCAGGTAATTTCCTCCTTCTCTAACTAGCTTCATTCACAATGAGACAATTGTACCGCAGCTCACATGTCCGACACCAGATCAGATGGGAGCCTCTGCCAACGAAGCATGAAAGCCGGAAGGCAGCACCGTACCTTGGGACCGAAGTTAAGTATGTTAAGACTTTCGTTAGAACCTCCTCTGATGCTTCATGGAAATGGGAGTTTTCAGGAAACGTGATGATCCAACCGTTGTCTTTCCCTCGGCCACCTACAAGTAAAAGAACAGTGCTTGTCTGAACAGTTTGTCCAGAAACCACGCCAAGCCGTAAAAGCCCCAATTTAAAACAAAACACGCAGCCCCATAAGCCCAAGTAAGCTGACCCTGGCCAGCCCCAGATCTCTTCTTCCAGTGTGGACATACCCTAAAATCACTTTTGAAAATGGGACATAAGGGGTACTATTTTCAGTGGTACCTCTCTTCAGGCAGGAACTTTCTTAGTTTTTCATCTGATCCTTCCTGAGGAAAGGACCTGGGAACTGGCCCCTAAAACATTTCAGTATTATGGGCCAAATTCTACCTTGGGTTTCAAATGCACATTTCCCACATAAGAGTTAGAACTATCAAAAGTATTAGATGCTGGGGGAGGGGAGAGTTAACCAGATGTATCACTTAATCTCCATATCAGCATACTTAGGATGTGACGGCAAAGAAGTCGGGGGGGAAAAGGGTTAATACTTGTAAACTGGCCACAAGCCCATAGAAATATATTCTATTTCAAAGCACCATACTTGTTAGTACTCTAAATGTTTGAAAAGTGGAATATTTTGTAGCATGGCTTGAGAAAGAAACCTAAGTTGGTCTTTCAAACTGCCACAATGTTTTATTAACAACATTGCTAGTGGCACCGGTGATGACCTGATGAATATTCTCCTGTGTATAGTATCATTTTGCCAAACAGTGCATAGGTTCACACAGAGAATTAAATTACTTTACACAGAGAACATGGGGAAAGTTTACCACACTCACCAGAAAGAAACGCAAACTTTTTCCTCAAATCGTCACTGATGTCCTTTGCACAAATGGGAACTGTGGTTTCTAGAAAAAATAGCAAGAACAAAACAACAAAATGCATTAGTGGAGGCTTATCACTACTCCACTAAACTAAATATTTAAAAGGTCATACCTAAGAATGCAATATGCCATTGCTTAACTCATCAAGCGGATCAAATGCCACAATACAGCAGTAACTATCAGGTGTATTAATTATGTTAAAGATGACATGTCAGGGTGTGCTAATGCCTGTATTCAGCAGGACGTAGGGGACATTCGGAATGGTTTTTTGTTTGTTTTTTAAATAAGCTACAGTTATAGTTCCCTCATCTGCAGCATCCCCTGGTACTTCCCAGCACAGTGGGTTGCATGTTTCTGTTGGCAGCAGCCGTGTCAGAGAATGGTATATTGTGAAACATACAGGGCATTTTATAATATCATGTTTCTTAATTCTGGAAAAATGAATGTACGCCCAAAGCAAATAAAACTCTGCAGTCAGCCAAGCTGTTTGCACAAAACACATTAGAAAGATTAGGGTTCTGATGCACAATGATTAGATTTCTAAAATTAAATAATAGAAAAAAACTGCTATAAGCCATCTGTAGTGTACTATGACCCCGTGGGGGCCCTTTCTGCACCTCAGCAGAATTTTATAACAGAGAGCGTGAGAGAGAGAGAATGAACAAGGGTTTGTGTCCATTAGAATATTATCCCACAACGTATAATTTGTGATAGCTTCAAAATAAAAACACTCCATTTACACTGATTGAAGGTGCTGGCAACAAATATTACTATATAATGTATGTCCTTGATCGTGTAAATATGATCATTTTAAACACACCTATATGCCATGAAGTCTTTGCGTGCTTTGACAGTTAAGCTTAACTCGGATAAAACTCTGATTTCAGGGATTAGTCTCTTGGCTGCCTGAAGTCCTGACATTTTGTCGCATTCCACTACCTCCTTGGCACACTGTGATCATTTCGGACTCTAATCCCTTTTCTGGCCGCAACCATTGCTTATGTTTTTTTATTTGAGTGTTTCCCCAGCATTCAGTTGCATACCTTGCTATATTCACTCCCATTCACTTAAATGTCAGTCGTAAAACTACTTATTTCAATGAGACCCAGATTTAGCCCTATTCCTGTTGCTTACTCTACGGAGTTAATTTTTCTTCTGAGGGAATTCTGCGCACAATATTTTTAAATTCTGCATATTTTATTTGTCAAAATAACACAACACAATCACACCATTTTCAGTTATTTGCTAACCAGTATTTTGAAATGACTTACCAAAAGAATTGAAAATGGTGTGATTATATTGTTTTTGTGTTTCTGTGTTATTTTGACAAGTAAAATATGCAAAAGTTGAAAATTTTTATTTTTTTGGTGCAGAATTCCCTCAAGAGTACCAGGGTCCTGGCTGGCGCAATCTGGGTGCGGGCAGCTCGATGGAGAGTCTGGGTGCGGGGGAGGCATCTAGGTGCACAGGGGCTTGGTGCAGGGTTCTGGGTGCAGGAGAGCCCAGGTGAAGGTGGTTGGGGCTCAGTGGGGTGGGGGGCTCCTGATGCATGGGGTGAGGCTCAGTGGGGTGGGGGTTAGGGAGGCTTAGTGGGGGGCTCGGTGGGGGAGTTCCAGGTGTGCGGGTGTGGGACGGGTTACTTACAGGGAGCTGCTCCCCCGTCCACCATACCCCCTTGCATCCAGATCCCCCTACACCCAACCCCCCCGCTGAGCTTCATCCCCCCCCACACTCAGAACTCTCCCTACCAAGCCCCTCCTGCAGTGCAGAGCTTCCTGCAGCCAGAGGACGTTTCTGGGGATTGATCTGACCCAGCCCCAGCTGCTCTGTGCAGGAAGGGAAGGGGGAGGGGGAACTCCATCTCCATCCTCCTCCTGCTCCTCCCCCCACCACCACCCCACCCAGCCAAGACTAACATCCCTGGGCAGTCAGGGCAGCCCAGATCCCCTTCTCCCCCCATTGATTTACCTCTCCCCTGACTGCCCGAACAGACACATCTGAGCTGCTGGGGAGGGGTGAGTGAACACTGGTGTAGCTTCTCTTTGCTTCCCCACCCCCACAGAAACCATTTTCTGCAAGGAAGCAAAGGGAATCTGTGGGGGTGGGGGAGTCAGCATTTTTCTGCTGCACTGCAATGGTGCAGAATTTCCCCAGGAGTCGTTAATCAACTTCCTTTAGCTCAACTCAACTAGCCCTCTCAGCTACCCTGATGTACTTAATGACAGTGGTGCCAGATTGCCTTTCTTCTTCTTTGCCTTCACTTTGTCCCATCAATCAAGGTCAGCAGCTCTTGTTCTTCATCTCCAAGCATTCTTGCCAACTGTGTCGTCCAACCTGAGGCCAACCTTCCTCATGTCATCCTTCACCATTTCAAACCACCATTTTCTAGGTCTTCCTCATGGTCTTTGTCCCTTGACTACTAGCTCTTGTACTCTCTGGCCAACACACCCCACATCTTGTCTCACATGACCCAGCCATGTCAGTCGATATGCCCTCAGCTTTTCTGTGACAGGGGATAGCTGCATCATGGCTCGTACCATTTCATTGGGTAGCTTTCGTCTTACCCAGCGTCCACTTTAGCATTCTCAGTTTGGCAGTCTGAAGTAACGGTTGTTCTCGCTTCCTCATTGGCGATCATTCTGACCCATACATTATGGCTGGCCTAGTCATGAGCTTATATACTTTGGTCTTTAGTTTACTTGGCATATTCTTACCACAGAGAATTCCCATCAGCTCCCTCCATTTACACCAAATGCTCTTCATGCGGCTCCTAACGTCCGCATCCACATTCCCATCGTGCCTCAACCCTGAACTGAGGTATTTAAATTGTTGCATAGACTTTAACTCGATGCCAGCCTATTTTACCTACTTCTCGTTGTCCCTCTCAATGAAGCATTGCGGGAATTCAGCCTTTTGTCAGCTGATTCATAAGCCATTTCCCTTTAATGCAGCCTTCCATAGTTCTAGGTCCTTTTCCAGTTCATATTTCTCTTCACAGCACAACATAATGTCCTGGGCGCAAAGCGTGCTCTACGGAGATGATCTCCTAATCTCCTGCATCAATATGTCCTTTCTAATCACAAATAGGAATGGCCTGGCAGCGAATGACTCACTGCAGCAGCAGCTGCTTCTCACTACTGTTGTGCTACCCTCGTACACGTCCGTGATAGTCTCAATGTATGTCTCCGGCAGACGGCATGACCCCAGGCATCACCTGAACAATTCTCTAGGCACTCTGTCATAAGATTCACAGCTTCCAAATCCTCTGTGCGTCTTTGCCTAATCTTAGCTAATCTATATACTCCTTTCTCCCCCTCCTTCTTAAGTGGTCTGGCACATAAGACTTTCAATGCCTGACCCTTAGTTTTTGCCACCGCTCTTTTGGCCATTTTCTTTACCAGCTTGCACTCCATTCTTGTTCTCTTTATCATTTGTTCCCCAACTTGTATTTTGTTCCCCATTAGTCTTTTCACCCAGAAGTACATTACAAGCAATGGGTTTCAGAGGGGTAGAATTGTTAGTCTGTATCAGCAAAAATAACGAGGAGAGACTAACAAATTTATTTGGGCATAAACTTTCATGGGCTAAAACCCACTTCATCAGATGCATGGAGTGAAAAATACAGTAGACAGGTATATATATGACAGCACATGAAAAGATGGAAGTTACCTTACCAAGTGGGGGATCAGTGCTAATGAGGCCAATTCAAACAGGGTGAACGTAGCCTATTCCCAACAGTTGGCAAGAAGGGGTGAATATCAACAGAGGGAAACTTACTTTTTGCAGTGCTAACGAGGATGGATGTGGCCCATTCCCAACAGTTGACAAGAAGGGGTGAGTATCAACAGAGGGAAAATTACTTTTTGTAGTGACCCTGCCACTCCCAGTCTTTAGTCAGGCCTAATCTGATGGTGTCCAGTTTGCAAATTAATTCCAGTTCTGCAGTTTCTCGTTGGAGTCTGTTTTTGAAGTTTTTTTTGTTGAAGAATGGCCACTTTTAAGTCTGTTACTGAGTGTCCAGGGAGATTGAAGTGCTCTCCTACTGGTTTTTGAATGTTATAATTCTTGATGTCTGATTTGTGTCCATTTATTCTTTTGTGTAAAGACCGTCCGCTTTGGCCAATGTACATGGCAGAAGGGCGTTGTTGCTTTGCACTCTTGTCTCCCAGGATCACTTTATATAAACGTGAGCGACTGTAAAAAGACTCTGTCCCTTTCCCAAAGAGTTTACAGTCAAAGGCCTTGATAGTACAGTCAGATCCACGTGTACAGGGATCAGGACCCCACAGGACCCTTGCCTAACAGGACCCCTTGTTAGGCAAGGCACATGCAGATAAATGAATGCAGCGTTTGCCTGCCTAATGACATCAGTAAACACAAATGCAGGACTTGTGTGTGCACTCACAGTTACAGGCTGTCTTCACTGTCAAAAAGATGCATTTTCCCATCAAGATAGCTAATTTGCTATAAAAGTCTAATGGAGACAAAGCACAGGTCATTTTTACCTCACTGTAGCTAGACAGGGTCAACCCTATACCCCACACCTAGGGATTGCCTTTTTCGCAGTAAAGACATAGCCAAAGGACCAGGGGCGGCTCTATGTATTTTGTCGCCCCAAGCACAGCAGTCAGGAGGCTTTCGGCGGCATGCCTGCGGGAGGTCCGCTGGTAATGCAGATTCAGCGGCATGCCTGCGAGAGGGCTGCTGGTAACACGGTTTCGGCGGCATGCCTGCGGGAGGTCCGTCGGTCCCACGCCTTCGGTGTTCCCGCCACTGAATTGCTGCCGAAACCGCGGGACCGGGGGACCTCCCGCAGGCATGCCGCTGAAGGCAGCCTGACTGCCGCCCTCACAGCAACTGGCAGGCCGCCCCCCGCGGCTTGCCGCCCCAGGCATGCGCTTGCTGCGCTGGTGCCTGGAGCCGCCCCTGCAAAGGACATTGTGTGAAAAACTGGCCCACAGAATAAACTACTGCGACAATAAAATAGAAAGCAACAAAAGATTTACAATAAATGCACCCTTTGT